CAGGGAAGGAAATGCTTCTGGGAAATTAGGAAAGAAGGCGAGTTGTCAAGGACTTGCAGCAGTCAGGTGTAGTCCCCACTTCCTGGACAGGCAGGCAGCCCTAGACATAACCTACGCCGTGCATACAGTGGATGGTGTACACGTGCGCTGGATGGGTGTGTGCCATGTGGTGGGTGGGGCATGCCATCTGGTGGATGCGTGCCCAGTAGGGGGTATACACTGTGCAGTGGATGGGAATTTGCTGTTCAGTGCATGGGGTATGCTGTACAGTGGATGGGTGTGCGCCATAGTGGATGGGTGTACGCTGTACAGTGGATGGGTGTTCTGTGTTCAGAGAAGCAGCAGCATGAGGACCAACTCTTCTGTTCCCAGATCTGGAAAACAATTTTGAACTCTCTTTTTACCCACAAAAATTGTCGCTCTAATTTTTAGGTGACTGACTTAAGACAAGTGGCAGTTTTTACTATGGGTCCTTATTTTAAAAAAATAAAGAAAAGAAGAGGGTAACTTGGAAATTAAAGGTCCATCAACAAACGTAATAATTTGCATTTTAACATGCATATTCAGAAACATTCAGCTTGTTTTATTAGCAGAACATACTGGATAGTGTCAGAGTAGCATATAAAGCCACAGTCTCATTATTGGGTGAAAGGAAGACATGCCTTATATGAAAAACAACCCAAGTAGTCTAGGAACTGGGTAGGTTATTAACAAATTAGGTTATCTACTCAAACTTGCGATAAAATTTGTTTAAAATTGTAGTTTTGTGTAAAATTACAGTAACTTAAAAGGGTGTCAGTACCTGCACCTAACATTTTTTGTTGCTACCAAGTTACAAAATGTTGTTACATTTTGGGGGGTTGGGATGGATTTTTAAAACCATTTGTAGCAATTAAGAAAATGACCCTGTAAAAGAAGCAAACAAGCAAAAAAGCAAAAACCCAAATAAAACTAAATACAGGCGGGCACCATGACAGAGGTTACAGAATAGGGTGTGGATGTGAAGACAATGAGCCTCACTGTCCTTACCATGGCCCTGGCAACACGTGCCACAGATGACATCATGGATGCTGGTTGGTGGCACAGGGAGGAGGAGAGAGAGCCATTGTCCCGGCCCCGCCGTTGAATTTCAAACTAGTTGCTTCCTTGAAGGCTTCTGTTTTGGTGATAGCCAATGGAGAGCTAAATAGCTGAAATATTGTAAGTCTTGGAATTCTCACCAACCAGAACCAAGTGGAAGAGCTTTGAGCAAAGAAACAGGTTAGACTCTCAGCCTTGCCTGCAGGCAGCCTGGAGAGAAGTGCACCCGGCCGCCTGTTTCGCACCCGCTGGCCTTACTCTCTCGATCAGTTCCAGCTGGTGTGAGGGAGGGGCTGCTAATCGTACGTTGTGCCCATGACTGCAGCTCCACAGAGTGGGTGACACATGTCACCAGCCACCTGGGCTGTCATGGTGCTGGTGGGTCCCCCTGAGGCTCTGGGTGGAGTCACCCCTGTTTCTGAATGACAGTTTAAGGTCTTCCTATGGCTTTTTTTGTTCCTCTCTTAAATGAGATGTTCTCTACTTGTGTGTGTGTCATGAAGACCTCTTTGCTTTTCCAATAAAGCTAATGAATCTACAGAATGTTGTTTCCGGCATAAAATTAAATTCATAAAATTAAAATGCTTGGGATTGCCAAGGAAACCAAGTACACTTTAGTAAGGAGTAAATGTGTGACGTGGTATCACGCGCCCTTTATTAAAATGCACGACTTGTCAATATGCAGGGTTAGGTCTAGCAACTTCTGTAATTCTGAAGTAGGGATGAGTGGAAGTGATACTTCGAGGTATTTAGAATAACGGTCATGTGACATGAAACTTTGATTTCTATTTGTGACACGTCACAGAAATGGCTAATTTTACTGTGAATTGTTGCCTATATTATAAAAGAAGAAAATGCTAAATTTCAGGTACAGGTTAGTAAAAATAAAAATGACATTTTTTGGAACACATGACCTGAATTCTCTCTGAGATCCTTGGAACCCCTTGCCTTAACATGCCATCCTTTCCTCTTATGCTGTGTGTTCTCCAGGGGCAGACTCTGTACCTGCTGCCCCTTCTGTGCCAATGACTCCTGGATATGCACCTCGGGCAAAGGACTAGCACAGTCCTACATCTCCTGGGACCCGTGGGACGTCCACCCCGATGGCCCATGGCATCTCAGACCCAGCCTCCCAGAGCAAACTCCTTAGCTTGGCCATCCTCCCTCTTCTTCTCCTGCCCTTCCTCTTTGTACCCTGGCTCCGTGGATGGTATTCGCACCCACCATGTGGCTCAGGCCCCCAGCCTGGCTTGACAAGGGAGCTTATGAGTGAGCTACCAAGGTTACAAAAGCAGCCTCCTTGATAACGCTTGTCGAAGTGTAAAGGTGCACATTTTAAAGCACTTATCTGTCCCTGCCTTTACCTGGAAAGTCTTCTAAATTTCTACTCTTCCCACAAGGCCTGGTTCCTCTTACCTGTCAGCAGGCACGTCTGGTTACTTCCTGGTTTGAAATCCCTCGGAGGGTGATGCCTCTTTGATCTGTGATGAGACAGAAGACTCTTGCCTCCCTCGGAGTGCCTTCTTCTGCCAGTCCCCTAGCTACCCGACTGCCTGGGGACCGCTTCCCTTCCACGTTGCCTTCTGGCCTCAGTTCTATGGCTGCTTTTCTGGAAGGCCTTACTGGGGACTGTTCCCGCGGCACCTCTCCCTCCCTTGCATCTGGCCGGGGTCTGGCAGGGTTTCACGGGTGGCATGCCCTCGGGAAGACAAGGTGTAACGTGTTTAGGAGCGCTGACTTGGATTCTGATCACATTCACTGCTAACTGATCTTGGCAAGGCACCTATCCTTTGGACACTTCAGCTTTCTGTAAAACCGGTATGATAATAGAATGGTGGGGTTAAATGCATTGATACTTACACTTTAGAAAAAAGGTTGGCTCATGCCAAGAGCTTAAGTAACAGCTATCCTTATCCATTTTAGTGATATGGCTTGTTAAGGGCCACATCCTACTACACTTTTATTTTTGTTGGGGTTTTATTAGAGTGTGGTGTAATTTGGGGCCCAATATTTAGCTGTTTCTTGTCTCCATTGAGGTTAATATCAGATATTTATTTTAACAAAATTAATTTATATGAGACAAAAGGAAATTATTTCTGACAGAAAGAGAAGAGAAATTCTATGGGTGAAGATTTTTCACAGAATGATGCGGACACAATTCTACCTGTGGTTTACCTAGCTAAGTTGGGATCTGTCTCTATTTCTTCCATTTTAAAGATTGTGTTTATCTCACAGGACTGCACTTATCCGTCCTTGCCTTTACCTGGCTTCTCTCTGAGATCCTTGGATTCTTGAAACTCTTTGGGCAGAGGAGAGATCAATATTATTTATCAGGGCATTTTCTTAGGCATGCAAATCTTCATATGTGTTTGCAAACCAGATCCACGTAAAGGAGACAGTTTTGAATACAAGTATCTTTTTGCACAGGCATTTTGATATTCTCTAGAAACAGTTCACGCTTGTGAAAACTTTTTTTTAATGATCCATCGCCGCACTTTGTATGTGACACGGTTGTGCTCTTTAACGGAATTTTCAGCAGGGAAGGATTCTTTCCCGTTTGTCCAACCATTCCGGCCTTTCCTTGGTTTTGCCAGCAGGGGGGGCACTAGCCTCTTTAAAAGTCATCAGTCACAAGTCTTGGGGCCAGTGTTCTTTTCTCATGGAGGCGATTGTCTTGTTCCCTCAGCCTAGAGTGATCCCACGAGATACTATTGAGCCCTGACCTGGGAATGCGTAGGAGACATGTGAAAGTTCTAGATCTGAAATAGACCCCAGCACTCTCGTGGCTGACCTGGTTGCACACATGGCTCGTGTTTTCATAGGTTTTGGATAACTTGAATTTTACCAGAAATACATGTAAATCTGGCAACAAGTGAGTCAAGTTTTTCTGGACATATTTAGTCTAATCTTATTGTTTAGAAGAAACAATAATTATAGTTAGGAAACATTGGCCATTATGTTAAAACGGGTCTTACTTTAAATAAAATAGAGATCATGGAAGCAAGCCATTAGAATTAAAATTGTCCTTGGAGTCGAAAACTCGGGAAAAATTACATATCCTGTGAACACATTGTGTTGAAAAGTGGAGCCTAGAGATTCTGATTCTTTCTTAAGCAATGTGCTGGGGTATTATTGACTCTGTTTTAAGATTTAACTGCCTTAAAAAGCTAAAAAAAGATTTAACCTTCTTAAGGAAATTACCAATTACATTTTTCGAGAATGAAAAATAAATGTAAATTTCTTGCTTTGAAACCAGAGTGAGTGATAAGTTCCATTCTAAAAGGCAACTAAAAGATCCATTTTAAAGTATATATCTTAGCTTATAAATGTACTCGAAATGTAGGTGGTGAAACTGACTTATAAGAATGCTTTTAAGACCTGTAGACATCAAGTCAGAATCAGAAGCTAGAATGTACTTTGATAAACTTTCCTCGTGAGTTTATATTAATATTTGGACTTTAGTGATTGATGAGGTTTGTAAGTGTATTTAATGCTATAAAAATCTGGAATAGTGGTAGTGTGTATGCTTGACTCTCAGAAACAGTGACTTCACATTCCCTCCTGTACAACATGAAGTTATGTGCTATGTGTTCCCTAAGCACCACCCGGCTTGACAACTACATAACAGTCATTTCATGGCTATCAAGGAGAGCAGACCGTGTTCTCTTGTTTAAAATAAGGCAGTCACTTTAATACGGTGTCTGAGGGGAGGGGAGGGAGTGAGAGTTCTCTTTGTTTAAGCTTGTGTTACAGTTTGGACAAGGACAAAAATGCAGTCTGAAGCCTTAGCTCATTTTGTGTGTGAGTTTTATTTCTCTCAGCAGCCCAGTGTCTATTTAACATACGGGGAGTGGTTTCAAGTTCATTACTAAAGCTTATAGGCCAAAGTGCTTTGTGGGCTTGGCTTTGACTTAAGTTGCCAGAGGGAGTCAGCCAAAACTGGGCTTGGGAGCGGGAGGCTTTCCTTGTTTGTGTGGATTCTTGGGGTGGTCGGTTTCTTCCCCTCTCGCTGTTAGCTGCTTTGGAGGTTGGTTTCACAGTAAAGATTCTTTCTTTGAAGGAACATGGAGCGACTGCTTCCACGGGGGCACCAGGTTAGTAAACAGCGTTTTGCACTCTCTACTGCATGTATCAGATTTTTCTTTCTGCACTCCCGGGTGACGATGGGACAGGCTGGCGGTGGTGCCATTGCTGCGTTCTCTTTGAGAATTATGGGAGCTGGTTGGTCCTATGAGGTTTGGGGTTATGCTTCTCCTTGTAACGTACGCATTGTTTGACAACACTGAATACAAGTGGAAGCCAAGAGGAAATGGCATCTATGTGCTGGATTTGCACTTGCTTGTAAGCGTTTTTGGTTCCTTTTTGTAGTTATGCCGTGTCCTCCCATTGTGTCGTCTAGGAATAGCTATGATTTTACACACAGGCCACTGTAGGTTTTGGAGCATTGAGCAGCAGGTGTTGTGCCCCAGTGAGCGCTGTCATCCGTCAACATACTTGTGTGTCCTTGTCTGCTGCACCGTTCTGTCTTGGGCCTCCTCCTTCAAGTTACAGTGAGCCAGAGTAGCATTCCAGTTTCTGGAACGCCTCATGAAATCCTGGCACAAAAACGGATTGGGGCAGAACGTACAGGTGGGTTAAGTCCACTGAATCCCTTTCTCAGTTGTTGCTGTTTGTATGCTGAAGAACCAGATCACCCTAGGAATAAATAAGGACTGCAAAAATGGAGTGCGACTTGTAAAACATAAAAGCGTTATTGATGATAATTATGTCAATGAAAGTAAGCGCACGAGAATGACTTCCTTAGGCTCATTAACTTAAAGATCTAAAGGGCAATCTCGCCTTTGTTACTATGCCACCAAAGCAATCAGGCACGAAATTGCCCTATGGTAGTTCAGTTTGATGTTTTCAAGTTTGCCACACTTTATTAAACACAGCTTCTCTTGCTCCTATGTTATTATTTTGCCCATGCTTCACTTCAGGGTAACATGCTAGTGTTTTAAAATATGTTAATATGCTTCTATTATTGCCGTGGTAGTCTCCTCTCTTCTTCTCCACAGGGAAATCGGTGTATTAGAAAGCTTCTGTTCTTTCATGTTCTCCACTGTCAAGAGAAAGGAGGGAGAAGGGAGACGGAAGTAGGTACTTAAAAAAAATCTTAGAAGTGATGTGCGACACTTTAAGGATCCCATTTCTCGTCTGTGCTGAGGTTAGTTTGAAAAGTTATGGCTGCATGCCATTTCAGGATTCCAAAACGGCTTGTGTTTTATACACCTAAGACACAGTTAGTTGTACAGCTATCTTATTGCCCCTGCCTCTGCAGGTATTTTCTTTAACAGGAAATCCATTAGGCCATTTTAGCTTTCCAAGAAGTGCAGAGATTGCTATGACTTTGCTATGGTTTCTATATATGCTATATATGTGCTATTACTGCATATACATGCTATTATGCAGTGTGTGTGTGTGTGTGTGTGTGTGTGTGTGTGTGTGTGTGTTGGAGTCTCACTTCGTCGCCCAGGATGGAGTGCCGTGGCATACTCACAGCCACCTTAGTGTCAACCTGCTGGGCTCAGGCGATCCTTCCGCCTCAAGTCTTCCAAGGAGCCGGAACTACAGGCATGTACTACCATGCCTGTAAATTACCACGGCTGATTTTCGATGTATTGTAGAGACAAGGTTTTGTGAAGTTGCCCGGGCTGGTCTTGAACCTGCGGGCTCAGGCAGTCCATTCGCCTCAGCCTCCCGGAGTGCTGGGATTATGGCTGAACCACCAAGCCCAACCATTATGCAGTAATTAATTATTAAAGGTTATTAATTTAAAATTTAAGGAAAGACTTTTGTCAACCTGATCATAGCTGCCTGATGATTTTAAAGAGGAAATATTAAAATGCTTTACTCCTTAATTACTTGTTTGTGCTTAATGGGTACTGATAATAGTCTTTAAAAGCTTACCTAAAACTCCTTTGTATCTTGTAGATTTGTTCTGTGTTCCCAGTGTTTCATAGCCTTTTTATGCAGAGACAATTACAAAGCAAAATGCTGTAGATTAAAAATAGAAATAAACAGTGTGGCAAAGGATAGGATGATAAGAGGGAAACTCCCTAGGAACCAGATTTTAGGGTTTTCCCAGAGAATATGCACATTAAAATAAGCTTCCTCCAAACGTGGGAGAAGAAAACAGCGATTATATAGCAGAGCGTTAAAAAATCTGTAGATTTGTGATAACATGTCTAAACAAATCTTAGATTATTCCTGATTCCGGGTTTCAGATATACATTGCGATTCTTGTTCTTATCTTGCCAGACTGGTTTAGTTTTATTCCATCTCTGCCTTTGGGCTGAAAAGAGGTGGACATTTTTCTCATTCTACACCATCCTATTTTTAGTTGCGCTTTCTACTGATTAGTTTCATTCAACATGTTTTCTTATTGATAGTCCAAGTGTCCCAGGTGTCTTGTACATCTCCGATGATTTATGACCCTAGTCCATGAGCCAGAGGCAGGTGACACCAATTTTCTTTTAAAATGAATCTGAGTTTCGAAGTTGGAGCCAAATCCTTAGGCAGGCTTTCTCAACTTGAACTGATTCACACTTGAAGCATTAGAGAAACTGAGTGACAGTAGGAGGCCAAGATTCAGGGAAAAAATGAAGAACCAGGAGTAGTTGTGACATTAGAAATGGGTTTTCTGACTGCTGAGCCTTGGCAGATTTTCACCCGAGCAGTCAGTTCTGTTCACACCCCAGGCCACTCTCCGTTCCCACCCATAGTTGTGATCTTTGCAACGTACGGTTTGGGAGGTGCTGGTGCTGGGTCTGCAGTTTATGGTCTTGTCAGACTTATGCAATTACTACAAGGACTGACAATTAAGTCCGCAAACTTGCCACTGTGTGCTTACGTTGGCAGCGCTGTACATACAGCTTGGTGAGGTCTCATACCCTTGGTGTATCAGGGTCTCACAGCTGTGTTTGTGTCGAAGTGTGGCCATGGCTTGCTGAGTGTGTGCATTACTGTTGCATGTTTTTGTGTGCCATCACGAGAAGTTTGGAGCCTGAATTAGAGCAACGAACGGACATTAAACTGCTTTTAAACTTGGCAAGGGTGGAAGTGAAATCAGGGATATGTAGTTCAAGTTTTTGAGGATAATGCCACGAAGAAAATGGCAGTGTACAAATGGATTAAATGTGTTTCTGAGGGGTGAGGAAGCGTCACTGATGAAGAGAGGTCAGGACGGCCAGTGATGAGCAGAACTGATGAAAACATGGCAAAAATGTGTTGAACTGTTCATCAAAATTGTCAGCTGACTGTGAGAAGCATAGCTGACCCAATAAACAGCTAGGAAAATCTTAACTGAAAATCGCGGCATGGGAAAGGTGTGTGCAAAAATGATCCTGAAGGAGCTCTTGCATCATGACCATGCACCAACTCACACAGCACTGTCTGTGAGGGAGTTTTTAGCCAGTAAGCAAGTAACTGCATTGGAGCATCCTCCCTACTCACCTGATCTGGTCCCCAGTGACTTTTTTCTTTGCCTAAAGATAAAGGAGATATTGAGAGGAAGACATTTTGATATCAAGGGTAATACAATAATGGCTCTGATGGGCATTCCAGATAAAGAGTTCCAAAATTCCTTTGATGGGTAGGCGAGGCACCGATGTCAGTGCATAGCTTCCAAGGGGAGTACTTCAAAGGTGACAGTCATGATATTCAGCAACGAGGTATGGAGCACTTTTTCTGGGATGAGTTCGCACACTAGTTGTCAGACCATGCACAGTGCCACCCTGCTGTTCCCATGCCTGACCCCCTGGTTCCTGCCCTTCACCCTGCCCGCTCAAGGTGCTGGAGGGCATAGGTCAGAGAGTGAGGGGGAGTGTGATTCCACCCACCCTGGAAATGCACTCTTTTGGTGATGTCAGTAAATACTAACTTCCTAGAGGGAATGCAAAAGCTGAGGACAGGCCTTCCCAGTTCCCTGTTTCATTCTGAAGAACCCAATTCAAGTTTGGCCTGCCGTTTCTGGGGGTGATGGTGGTAACAGTCATAGCAGGCATAGTCACAGTAATAATAATGGACACCCAGAAGCTCTTTCTTAAGTGCAGCTCTTAACTTTCATTTTCCCCTCACAACATCCCTGAGAGGTTGTCCCTAGCCTACTATCCCCATTTTACAGCCGAGGCCCCCGTCCCAGAAAGGTCATGTAAGGTGACCCAAGTCAGAGCAGCAGTAAGTAACAGTGACAGTACTATGCCTCAGAGAGGTGCTGTGGTCAGGGGAAAAACTGACAAGCTGATGCTTTCAGAAAATATGCCCCAATTCTTACCGTTGAGAAGCCCCCACGGAAATTCTGACGTGCATGTTGCTCATCATACTGAAGATGCTCTGTTAACCTGCTGTCCACCAGCGAGGCCAGCCTTTCCCGGCTGGAGTGGTATGGAGCTCGTGCTCTGCTTTCTGCCTGACTGCTGGTGACCCATGGCAAGAACCTGGTGGCCAATGGCAGGATATTGAGGTTGTCTGCAGTGAGTCAATGAGACCATTGGTGACCAGACTGCATGGAGACTAAGACCACTGGATTGAATCCTGTCTTCTCGCTGCTCAAGCTAATCTTGGAACTTTAGAGACTTCTTAAGGCTAAAATAACGAAACTACCAAGGCTAGGAACTTGGAACTTCTGATTGTTTAGTTTTAATTTGGCCTGTGTGTGTCCTCTTTATTCCTGCCTGGTATGACTTCCTGCTGATAATCAAAGCTCTGGTTATTTTGACAGTCTTGAAGACTTTCTGAAGCTTCGTGGAAAGCCAAGACTATGAGACAAATATTTTCTTTAAAAACACAAATGTGCATTTGAAAAAAATGTTGGGCAGATAACTTACAGTAGACTGGGCTAAAATTTAGGCATGTGACAAATAAGTTTGGAACCTTTAACACTGTATGTCAATTAGTCCAGATAGAGTAAGAAGCAAAAAGAGAAGAACCCAAACAATAACAATTTTTTATCTTTGGATGGGGAATCACTTTCTCTTCCCAATATCAATAGAATTTTCTAGGTAGGAGTGTAAAAGTTTTAAGTGTAGAACTGTTCATTGAAGCATTAATTTAT